GTTGTAGACTGGCAAATTCCAAGTCCGCGGGTCAGGCTGAAGGCTGAAGGCCTCTCCTGACTCATGTAGCTGTAGGGACTGACGAAATCAAGATTGGCTGGTAAGATGGCAGGCCGCTGGCTCAAGTCCCAATAACTGGAGGTCAGATGCTGATGAGTCAGATTCAGGAATCAGAGCAAGGGAACTTTGCTAGAACATCCGTGTATATATTAGATGCAGGCCACACCCTCAAGGAAACTCCCTTTTCAACTGATTGGCTGCTTACATCAGATCACAAAATGGAGGATGACTACATAACTGCCAAATTACATCATTATGTAACTGCCAAACTATATCATAGCTGCCAAGCCACTGAGAATCACGGCCCAGCCAAGTTGACACACAGCTTTAACCATCACAATCACCTAATTTCAACAATATATAGGATAATCTTCAGTTTCAGATCTACGATATATAAATACTATACTCGGAAATATTCATTTTGGAGTTTTAACATATTTTTGCCTTAAAACAATTGGCATCATATCTGTGACTATTTTATCATTTAGATAATTTTGGGAATATATAAAAATGACAAGTACTTAAGAGAATAGGATTTTTATACATAACAAAACAATTTTGATGTGAATGGGGAAATATTAATAATTTAATTTTGAAATTTGATTTTACAGAGAGTGGGCAATATAGAGAAAAGTGTTTCAGGAATGGCAATAAATTGGATAAATGAAGAAATTATTTGGTCAAACCAACAAGAAGGAGTCATTACAGTAACAGATATGAAAGGAAACAATTCCCGGGTTCTCTTAAGTAGCTTAAATTATCCTGCAAATGTAGCAGTTGATCCAGTAGAAAGGTAAATTCTGCTGTTTTCAGACATTGAAATATATTGCAAAATCTGATGAAGATTCATAGAAAATCATAACATTTGAACTCAAAGGGACCTCGTTGAAATCAAGGCTCTCTTTTACAGAAGACAAACATTATTTTCAATATAACAGTTGCCTGGATCTGAACCAAGGCAGGCTACTTCTAACTACCATGGATTTTTGCTATAGCATATTTCTTTCTCTAACTGGAAATCAGGAGCCCTGGTGGTGCAATGGTTAAGTGCTCGGCTGCTAACTGAAAGGTTGGTGGTTTGAACCCATCAGGCGCTCGGCAAGAGAAAAGACCTGGTGATTTGCTCCCATAAAAAGTACAGCCTAGGAGACCCCATGGGACAGTTCTACTCTGTCCTTTAGGGTTCTGTGAGTTGAAAACTACTTGACTGCATTCAACAACAACAAATTGAAATCACAAGGAATGGTTCTACTTCTTGTCTCTCCACCTCTCCTTGTCTTCTGTGACCACTGTATCAAATGCTCATTTCCTTTTGTTTTTTTTATAACTTTTCCACATAATTATTTTTGCTCACATTATCTCCAGACCTGGTGTGGCTTTTTTTTTTTTTTTTTTTTTTTAATTCTATTGGGCTTTAAGTGAAAGTTTACAACTCAAGTTAGTTTCTCATTCAAAAATTTATACACATATTGTTTTGTGACATTGGTTGCAATCCCCACAACATGACACCACTCTACCCCTTTCCACTTCGGGTTCCCTGTGTTCATTCATCCAGTTCCTGTCCCTTCCTGCTTTCTCATCTGGCTTTTGGGCTGGAATTGCCCATTTGGTCTCGTATATTTGATTGAACTAAAAAGCATGTTCCTCACACGTGTTACAGCTCCTTTCCTTTTGCAGTACTACTTACTCTGTCTTCTCTCTGTCCACTTTAGTCCATCATAAACAAACAAACCAAACCAAACCAAACCCATTGTTGTCGAGTTGATTCTGACTTATGGCGACCACATGTATACAATATAGAATTACTCCATAGTGTTTTCAAGGCTATGACCGTTCAGAAGCAGATCGATAGGTCTTTCTTCCAAGGTGCCTTTGAGTGGGTTTGAACTGCTAACCTTTTGGTTAGTAGTTGAGCCCTTACCCGTTTGCGCCACCCAAGATTGCCTATTCTTAAACCCTACCGCTACATTAATTCTCAAAAACACAGTTCTGATAAAGTCGTACTCCTTCTCAATAACTTGGCCAACTTCACATATAGTCATGCAAGGCTCTGCACACAGGACACCATACTTAGTTTCAGTTCTAACTTGCACTACTTTTCCTCTCTTACTTTTTGCCATATCCCAAAGGAACTGTTCAAATATTTTTCAAACAGGCTTTGCACGGTTTTTAAAACCTCTATTCTCCCCTGGAAAGTCTATCTCCTCCATCTCTACCTATGGAAATCCTATATGCCCTTCAAAATGCATCTCAGATTTGACCCTCCCCTTGAGGCATTCCTGATTCCCAACTGGGTGTGCTTATTGTCTCCTTTGATTCCCCACCAGGCTTTGATTATTTTATCTTTCTTTTGTCACTGATCTCTTTGTGCCTTTTATTTTTATAGTTTTTGTGTATTTAATGATTTACCCCATTCCATCAGATGAGAAGCTCTCTGAAGGCAGGGATTGTCTCATTTAGCTTCAATTCCTGATTCCTAAATGAAGGATCATAATAGGGGAATAAATACTTGTTGAACTGAATTTTCATTCAAAATATCAAAGTGGTCCTATGCAGACAGAATTGGGTGGCTGAAACGCTGAAAGAGATGGCCATTTAAGTGACTATACACTCAATTATGCGTCTATGTCATGTGTCTGCCCTCAGGGTTATATTTTGGTCTTCAGAGGTGGGCAGTAGCCTTCACAGAGCTGATCTCAATGGTGCGGACATGAAGATTCTGCTGGAGACATCAGAGAAAATAACAGCCATGTCATTGGATGTGCTTAATAAACGACTCTTTTGGATTCAGTACAATAAAGAAGGAGGCGATTCTTATATTGGTTCTTGTGATTATGACGGAGGTTCTTTCCATCTTAGCAAACATCTTACACAGTAAGTTTTGTTTTGGGTGTGAAATAAAACAATTGCCATTTGAAGCTTGTGTAATAGATTAGTTTTACTTTTGTCAACTTAACTGGTGTGGTGGTTTAAGTTCCAAATTTACCGTTTATTGGATGAGTGTGACCATTTATTGGATGAGTCCCACTGCTAGGACTTTAGCGTAGTCATAATAATAGCTCCTATGTCTTGGGGTTATTGTGAGGATTAAGAATGCAAATAAAAATAATTAGCAGAGTATCTGACATACAGTAAGTTTTCATATGTTGGTAGTAGTTATAATTTTTAGAGTAATTATGCCTTATATATTTTATAAAACATCTATCTTTGATTTTATTTGCTGTCTTGCCAGCAACTGACTCTGTAGCTCGTGGCCATGAAAAGGTATTAGTCGAGTGAGAAATTGACAAAACCAGAAATCCTGTTCCTTATCCTGTTCTACTTTCTTCCCATTAATGTGATGACCAGCGGAGGAATTGAGACAGTGGATTTGGAGCCAGACATTATATTCTATTAGTTCAGATTATAATTACATAAATAAAACTTTACATTTAATATACATTTCTAAACGAAAAATGATTGAAAACTTGGTGATTTAAAATTCAGCCAAATTGAAATGAAGTGAAATTTTAATAAGCCAAGGAACAAATGTCCTGCCCTTGTGTGTTTTCTTCCCCTGTTATTTTTTAGGCACAATTTGCTTGCAATATCTCTTTTTGGTGACCGTATCTTCTATTCAACCTTGAAAAAGAAGGCAATTTGGATAGCCAACAAACACACTGGGAAAGATATGGTTAAAATTAACCTCAATGCATCCTTTGCACCACCTGGCGAAATTAAAGTAGTGCATCCACTTGTACAGCCCAAGGCAAAGGGCGATGCTGGCGAGTCTGGTGAGTCATCTTTGACCTTGCACAGGGACTGGGACATGGTCCCCACCTGCACACTTGCTCTCGTCAGACACTTACGGGTTATCTTTGATTTTTCCCCGCTGCCTCCCTCCCAGTTCCCAATTTGTTGCTAAATTCTTTCCATTTTACCTCCTAAACATATCTCGTATTTCACTTCTCTCTTATTCTGCCACCACCATGGTCCGAACACCAGTATTTCTTGCTTGGCCTATTGTAGTAGCCACTTGCCGTTGGGTTCTCTATAGAAACAGAGCCAGTAAGATAAATGTGATCTGGTCACCTTCTTGCTTAAAATCCTTTTCTCTGCATTTAGATTGAAATTTATTCTTTTACCATATCTATCAAGATTTGACCAACCTGATCTAGTGTTCTTCCACCTACCCCCTTGCTGAGATCTAACATAAGTATCCCTACAGTTAACATGCCAAAGTCCTTCATGCCTTTAGGCTTTTTCATTCACTTTTCTCTATGCCTGGAATTTTCTTTGGGTTTGAGTTTTAATGTCATATTTTCAGATAGGCCTTATCTGGTCATTTAATCAAAGTATGCCCAACACCTCCTATTTTTCTCTCAGTACACTCCTTCACTGAACTCATCACGAGGTATAATAACATATTATTTGCTTTCTTTTTAACCCTCCTTCCCACTTTAGTGTAAGCGTCACGCCAGCAGGGATCGTGCCGTTTCAGACAAAAAATGCTAGCAAAATGAATGAATGAATGATTGACTGACTCTAGTCACAGTTCCAAATTTCTACTTTCAAAGGTAGTCTTCTTTGTTTGAAACTCATTCAAAACAGTTATAGATCTTTTCACCATCATTACTACCATTTCTTACACTTACATGTAACTTCATAGTTTCTAAGTATTTTCATGGGCATTATCTTATTGGTTAAGAAGTTGTCAATGATTTCATTCTACCTGCATCAACAATCAACATTCATTGAAGCAGCAGTCAAGAAATCAAATGACATATGGCATTGGGCTGATCTTCTGCAGAAGACCTGTTTAAAGTGTTACAAAGCAAAGCCGTCACTTTGATAACAGCTTTAAAGTTAACCTTAATCCATGCTTTTCACCACCTTGTGAAATTAAAACTGTGGTCTTTTCAATTGCTTCATACGCCTGCGAAAGCTGAATAATGAAGAAGACGGAAGAATTGAGACATTCAAATTGTGATGTTGGCAAAGAATATTGAATATATATGGTAGAGTGCCAAAGAAAGAACAAACTTGTCTTAGAGGAAATACAACTAGAATACTCCTTAGAAGCAAGGATGATGAGATTTCAGCTTGCTTACTTTGGACACATTATCAGGAAATACCAATCACTAGACAAGGACATCTTTGTTGGTAAAGTGGACGGTCAGCAAAGGTGAGGGAGGCTCTTGTGAGAGGGATCGACACAGTGACTAAAATAATGGGCTCAAACATAGAAATGATCATGAAGATAGCACAGGATGGGTGTCTTAGCATCTAGTGCTTTTATATCAGAACATGTGGATAGCTTTAACAAACAGAAGTTTATTCTCTCACAGTCTCATAGGCTAGAAGTCTGAATTCAGGGCACCAGCTCCAGGGGAAGGCTTTCTCTGTCAGCTCTGGAGGAAGGTCCTTGTCATCAATCTTCCCTTGGTCTAGGAGCTTCTCCAAGCAGGAACCCCAGGTCCAAAGGACATGCTCTACTCCAGGCGCTGCTTTCTTGGTAGTATGAGGTCCCAAAGATGGTGCTTAGAATAAGAGAAGCAGATTTGTTGGCTTTAATAAGTCCTTGCCTTGTCAATTCGGATTGACAGGCTATAGTGGAGCTTGATGCGACTGATTGCTGAGCCCCAAGTCAAAGCAGTACAGCCACAGTTTCTCCATTGGGCTATTTTCTCATGATTCTGACCAGTTTCCTGAAGAGCAGTTACTCTAGTCCTTCCTCTGGGCCATGACTGGCTAGCTGCCTTGCACCTTCAGGCTCAGTGTCCTACAGTGGGAACAAACAAATGTATATGCTCAGGCTCAGTGAAAATGTCCTTATCAAGACCCATATATTTAAAAGCCTTCTGGCCATTCCTACTTGGATTTCTTTAAAGTGCTCCAGGCTCAAAGCAAATAAGTGACCTTTCACTTCCTATTCTGTCCACCTCATCTCCCTTGGGTGCCTTCCTCAGTGAGAGGAGTCATCACCCACTAGGTCTCCCAAGGCAGAAATCCAGGAGTTGTTCCTTTCCTCCCTCTTTCTCACTCTTACTCTATTGATCACCAAGGTCTCACAATTCTACCACCTATAGTCTAACCACTGGTGCCCCTCCCCTTAGTTCTCCATTCCCAATATCCTCCTAATTGGTATCACTGCCTCCATTTTCCATTGCAAGGGGCATAACCCTTCAAAAATAAAAATCCAATCATGCCATCCCTTGATTAAAATCCTTTGACAGATTTCCATTGCCAATAATTAAAATCCTATCTCCTCAACCTGGCTACAAGGCCCTCTGCTCATTTCTCAGTTTCATCTCTTACCCTTTTCTGTATTATGTTCTATGCTATAGCCATTCTAAAAGATAGAATTTCCTTAGAAGTACCATACAATTCAGCAATCCCACTCCTAGGACTATATCCTAAAGAAATAAGAGCCGTCACACGAATAGATATGTGCACACCCATGTTCACTGCAGCACTGTTCACAGTAGCAAAAAGATGGAAACAACCTGGTGCCCATTAACGGATGAATGGAGAAACTAATTATAGTATATTCACACAATGGAATACTATGCAATGATAAAGAATGATGAATCTGTGAAACATCTCATAACATGGATGAATCTGGAAGGCATCATGCTAAGTGAAATTAGTCAGTCGCAAAAGGACAAATATTGTAGGAGACCACTATTATAAGAACTCAATATGAGGTTTAAACAGAAGAAAACATTCTTTGATGGTTATGAGGGTGGGGAGGAAGGGAGAGAGGAATTCACTAACTAGATAGTAGACAAGAATTATCTTAGGTGAAGGGAAGGACAACACACAATAAAGGGAAAGTCGGTGCAACTGGACTAAACCAAAAGCTAAGAAGTTTCCTGAACTCAACCAAACACTTTGAGGGACAAAGTAGCAGGGGTGGGGATCTGGGGACCATGGTTTTGGGGGACATCTGGGTCAATTGGCATAAACAAAGTTTATTAAGAAAATGTTCTGCATCCCACTTTGGCGAGTGGCGTCTGGGGTCTTAAAAGCTAGTGGGTGGCCATCTAAGACACATCAATTGGTCCCAACCCACCTGGAGCAAAGGAGAATGAAGAACACCAAAGACACAAGGAAAGTATTAGCCCAAGAGACAAAAAGGGCCACATAAACCAGAGACTCCATCAGCCTGAGACCAGAAGAACTAGATGGTGTCTGGCTACCACCAGTGACCGCCCTGACAGGGAACACAACAAAGAGTCCCTGACAGAGCAGGAGAAAAGCGGGGTGCAGAACTCAAATTCTAGTAAAAAGACCAGACTTAATGGTTTGACTGAGACTGGAGGAACCCCAAAAGATATGGCCCCCGGACTCTGTTAACTCAGAACTAAAACCATATCCAAAGCCAACTCTTCAGACAAAGATTAGACTGGACTATAAGACATAAAATGATACTCGTGAAGTGTGTGCTTCTTAGTTCAAGTAGATACATGAGACTAAATGGGCAGCTCCTGTCGGGAGACGAGATGACAAGGCAGGAAGGGATAGGAGCTGTTGAATGGACACGGGAAATCCGGAGTGGAAAGGAGGAGTGTGCTGTTACATTATAGGGATAGCAACTAGGGTCACATGACAATGTGTGTGTAAATTTTTGTATGAGAAACTTACTTGAGCTGTAAACTTCCACTCAAAGCACACACACACACACACACAAAAAAAGAATTTCCTCCCAGCAGGCATGCTTGCTCTCTCCTCCAGACCCTTCAGCATGCTCCAGAACACTCTCTCTCCTCTGCACTGGCTAAGTCTTCATCCTCTGAGAAACACCTCAAACTTTATTTCCTTCGAGAATACTTGCTCGGTTTCTCTGTGAGCCTAGGTTAGCTGTGTGCTCTCAGAGAACGAGAGATTTCCTCTGCCATATGGCATTTATCACGCTTTACTGTAATTGTCAAGGAGCCCTGGTGGTGCAATGGTTAAGTGATCGGCTGCTGACCGAAAGGTTGGCAGTTCGAACCCACTAGTGGCTCCATAGGAGAAAAGACCTGACGATTTGCTCCCAGAAAGATTACACCGTAGGAAACCTGTAGGGGCAGTTCTACTGTGTCCTATAGGGTCACTATGAGTTGGAATTGACTCGACGGCATACAACAACAACTGTGCAGTTGTCTTTCTTCCTAAACTTCCTTAGCTCTATGCTCTCCATTATACACCAGAGCGTAAAGGACGTTTAATAAATAATAGTTGGAAGCAAAGAATGAAAAGCACGCTTTGGCACTCTCTTCCCTAAATAATATCAATAAGGAACAAGTTTTAAAGCTATATAATACCTAACTGCAAGGTTGGTGGTTCCAAGCAGCTCTGAGGGAGAAAGAAAGACCTGGCAATCTACTTCCATAAAGATTACAGCCAAGAAAACACTATGGGACAGTTCTACTCTGTCGCATGGGTTTGCTATGAGTTGGAATCAACTTGACGGTACCCAACAACAGTAAATACATGTTACCTTCCTGACTAATAATAAACCAATGAACCAGTTGCCGTCCAGTCAATTCCAACTCATGGCAACCCCATGTGTGTCAGAGTAGAACGGTGCTCCATAGGGTTTTCAATGGCTGATTTTTCAGAAGTAGATTGCCAGACCTTTCTTCTGAGCCGCCTCTGGGTGGACTTGAACCTCCAACCTTTCAGTTTAGCAGTAGAGCTCGAGTTAACCATTTGCACCACCCAGGGACTCCTGAATAATAATAAAGACAGCCGTATTTATGGAGTGTGTTCAGAATTATTCAACGGCAGCTTTACTTAGATAATCTTA